TATGTGGGACGCGGCCTCAGCATGGCCAGAGAAGCGGTGTGTCTGTGCACGCCCGGGATCCGAACCCGGGCCGCCAGCAGCGGAGCGCGCGCACTTAACCGCTAAGCCACGGGGCCGGCCCCTGGTCAGGTTAATCTCATGGCTAAATGACAACTTCTTAGGCAAGGGTGATGAGTCATATTCCTGCCAGAGAAATTACAGTTTATAGTTGATATATTATAGGCCCAGAGCGACTACCGCGGCGTGGCCCTCAGAAGGAGCTGCTCCTGATCACGTGCTAGTTGGTGGATGAATGGAGGAAGAGCTAGGGCTGTGAAGGGAAATGCCTTATAGCATCCTAAATGGGGAAGTCATCCAGTTGAAAAAAGGAAAAAAAAAAAAGAAAGAACCCTTTATTAGCTGTAGGGGGATCAGCAGTAGCAAGGCTGGAGGAAGGGGTGTTCGGGGGAACCACTGATGAGCAATATACCTCATCCCCTAAACTAGGGCAAGCCATGGCACCAAGATGATGGCTCCAGAGGCACTGGCAGAGGAGTATGGTGGGAAGGAGTGGAAGCACTTCACGCCGGACACTGGATGGTCGTGCCGATCAGGTATGACTCACGAGAGGCAGCGCCGTCGTTCCCTTGTCTTTTGTTTTGGACTCTGAACCTGCGACACGAGGACATGAAGAAACCCCTCTTGCTGGGCAGGATGCACAAGTGAGCAGCTGTGGTTCTATAGGAATAGGATGTATTTTTTCCCATGTGTCTGATTTCTCTTTGGCAGTTGGTTCTGTTTTATTTAAGGTTTTGTTGATTCTCCTTTCACTTGCACTTATCCTGGAGTAAAGAAGACTGGCACTTAGAAATAATACATTCCCTCGTCGTCTGTATTTTTATCAGTTCTTTAAGTACTCCATTCTTACTTTTATTTCTCTGTGCCCCATTTCTCCCCACATTCATATGACCCACCTCTCCTATTTTCTAGAATTCTCTTTACTGCCAGTTCTAGTATCTTCTGCCCTCATCTTTTCTTTTAAATGATTTTACACATTTTTTCCCACTGGCTTTCAAGAGCTTCACCATTGGTAAACATGAAAAGATTTTTCAAAAATTATAGACATAGATGTGCATAAATTAATAAGGAAAGATTAAAACGTTATTATGAACTGACCATATTAAAAGTCATAATTGTGAGTTTTTCATTTGTTCTAAATTTTTTTTTGCCGTTTTCTCCCACACTAGTTTTGAAACGCACCTGTTCTCCTTTAGAAAATGTGGTAACCTGAAAATAGTTGGAGCTATTCCTTGTTTCTATTATGTTTTTGCTTGTTACATTTGCTATCTTTTGAGAATTTGCTTTGTTTTTTTTTGTGAGATGAAAATGTCAGGAAGTATGAGTGCTCTTGATAAAATAAGTTGATAGGAAAAACTGAGGTTTCAGCTTAGGGTTAGATGTGGAATGCTTTCACACATCACAAGGCAGGACAGCTAGTGGAGGCTGAATGGGTGGATGGCCTTTCACTCAAGTGATGGTAGAGAACTGCTGTTGTCTCTCCAGATGTAGGCTGTTGTAAAGAAGCTCTTCCTTCCTCCCAGAAAAGCTAGACACACAGCTAACTGTTTCACTCTGTTATCCATTCAGAAATCGGGAGTGTTTTAAAGAAGTAAAGTATTTCCCACCTGTGAACAGAGCGTTCACCCAGTATGACCCACCTGTTTATTCACTGCTCCACCACTAGAGAGCGCTGCCTCCTGGAATCAACAGCTTCCTTCTGGTGCTTGATTTACACCGGAGCGCCCTGAGGACGGTCTTGGAGTTTCTTTACTCCTAATTGGGTTGGTTAGAGAGGTGTTTCCCTTCCAGGTGTCCAGTGGTCAGGCTGTGACACATAATAGAGGCCTATTGTTTCAGCAAAATAATAAGGGAAAGCTAATGCCTTTAAAAAATAGTACTTATTTTTTTTGTTGTTTTATTTTGTTTTTGTGAGGAAGATCAGCCCTGAGCTAACATCCATGCCAATCCTCCTCTTTTTGCTGAGGAAGACCAGCCCTGTGCTAACATATATTGCCAATCCTCCTCCATTTTTTCCCTTTTTCTCCTCAAAGCCCTAGTAGATAGTTGTATGCCATAGTTGGACATCCTTCTTAGTTGCTGTATGTGGGATGCCACCTCAGCATGGCCGGACAAGTGGTGCGTCAGTGCATGCCCGGGATCCGAACCCGGGCCGCCAGTAGCGGAGCGCGCGCACTTAACCACTAAGCCGTGGGGCCAGCCCCCAGTACTTATTATTTTTTTAATATAGAGATATATAAAAGAAGAAAAATATTGGCCTGTGATTCCGGTTAAACTTTGTCTACATTAAAAAAATAATGAGAGAGGGCTGGCCTGGTGGCGTAGTGGTGAAGTTTGGTGTGCCGTGCTTCGGCGGCCCAAGTTTGCAGGTTTGGATCCTGCGTGCAGACCTACACCACTCATCAAGCCGTGCTGTGGTGGCGACCCGCATACAAAATAGAGGAATATGGGCAAGATGTTAGCTCAGGGCCACTCTTCCTCAAGCGAAAAAAGAGAGGAAGATTGGCAACAGGTGTTAGCTCAGGGCCAATCTTCCTCACTAAAAAAAAATAAGAGAGGCTGGCCCCATGGTGTAGTGGTTAAGTTTGGCATGTTCCACTTCAGCGGCCCAGGTTCTTGGGTTTGAATCCTGGGCGCAGACCTACACCTCTTGTCAGCCATGCTGCGGTGGCAACCCATATACAAAATAGAGGAAGATTGGCACAGATGTTAGCTCAGGGCTAATCTTCCTCAAGCTGAAAAAAAGGAAGATTGGCAATGGATGTTAGCTCAGGGTGAATCTTCCTCAGAAAAAAAAAATAATGAGACTATATGGTTAGGAAATTTAAATATTATAAAAAGGAATAAAATGAAGAGTAATTATCTCCAGCCCCTGTTCCCCAGAATCCCCTTTCCCCAACCTTATTTTTTTTAATTTTTTTATTTGGTGAGGAAGAGTGGCCCTGAGCTAACATCTGTTGTCAATCTTCCTCTTTTTGCTTGAGGAACATGGTCTCTGAGCTAGCATCTGTGCCCATCTTCCTCTACTTTGTATATGGGACGCCACCACAGCGTGGGTTGATGAGTGGTGCATAGGTTCGCGCCTGGAATCTGCACCTGTGAACCCTGGGCCACCACGGCGGAGCATGCAGACGCAACCACTGCGCCACTGGGCTGGCCCCAGCCAACCCTTGTTTTTTAAGAATGCAAAGGGATCATACGTTTTCTGTACTTAGCTCTTTTCAGTTTATATCTTAAAGATCCTGTCATGTTAGCACACACACAGATGTACCTCGCTCTTTTCAGTGCTAGTGCGCTCTGCCATCTAGTCCTATATCATGATTTATGTCATGAGTCCCCTCATGGTGGACATTTACATTGTGTTTGGTGTTTGGCCATTACTAACAAGCCTGCAGTGACGTTTTCATACGTGCATATTTTGCACTTTTGTAAATATATCCAAGGTAAACTCCTAGAAGTACAGTAGTTCTAAGGATATGCAGGTTTAAAATTTTGATCATTATTGCCAAATAAGTCCCTTATTTTCAGGAATTCCAATTGATTCTTTATATGCTGTTTCCTTCTACGTTGAGTGTATTCATCCTCAAGTTAAGTAGAGAGTTGTAAAGGGCATTCCCTACCAGTACATTTAGGTCATTTAAAGCATTGATGGGTATAGACATTTTAATGACAGTTTATTTGATAATCCGTTTTCAGGTTGTTGACCTGGTGTGAGTATGGTTTTCTTTACCTACCGATTTCCGGAAAGCAAGTCCTTCTGATCTTTTTCTTCCTAAACTGGTATATTGTGCAGAAACAGCTTGGGATAGTGGAAATCAGAAGGGACTCAGAGCCAGATAGTCCTGGATCATATTGACTCTGTTACTTGCTGGATAAAGTGATCTAGTCACTTACTAAGCCACTCTTAGCATCACTTTCCTCATCTTTAAATGGAGGTAATATGACTTGTCTGCAGGAGAAGTGAGAGCTTATGCTAGCATAAATTGTTCTCTTCCCCTCAGTCATTCACGTGCCTTTGTTCTGTCCTCATTAGGAGTACGTAGTTTGCAAAGCGAGTAGTTTTGGCAGTGGGTTCTTGGGGAGCAGTTTTCTGTGTGCAAAGCTTAATAGCTATAGGACTTGGTCTTGATTCAGAGGCCTGTTTTATTGAACTGAACTCACTAATCACTTCATTCCCAGTGAGCTGCCTGCTCCATAGGGAGGCGGAGGGTTGAAGCTTTCGTGTGGTACAGTCTCAGAGTTTTGGTGTTGGGAGAGGCATTGAGAGCAGCCTAGCCCAGTTAAGAGGTCAAGGCTGAATAAGCCTCACTGTGTCCACACAGTGGTCGTTCAGCTCATGTTTGATGGTCAAGTGATGTTTAGCCCCTTGCTTTGTGGGTGGGAGTCTCGTAATCAGTATTTCAACTCCTAAGCTGAATTTCATCTATTAATACCCAAAAAGGTAGAGGAAGAGGAGGGGAAAAGCAAGGGCATATCACTGACAATGATGGGACACCTCTTGCTCCCACAGTGCTCAGGATGGCTGGCCATCAGGTTCAGGCAGGTCTCTCTGGTGTCACAGGCCAAGAGATCAAGTGCAGGTTAATGAACCTTGGGAAGCCGTCTCCACTGTCCTGGGAGCCCTGGAGTATTGTGTGGTCTTACAGCGCAGCAGAGCATGGGCAGGAAGGTACATGGGATAGCATCTCTCTTTTCCTTCCAATTCCTAGTTCCTGAAGCCATCCTAACCTTTCTTAGGAATGAAAAATAATCTAAGATGTTCCCTCAACAACTTCAAACCCAACAATGAGGTTGGGTTTCCCCCAAAGCAGAGTGGTTCCTCCTGATCCCAGTAAGCCAGGGAGAGATAGTGGAGAGAGTGACATGGATGGAAGGAACAATGGGGGCCGGGTTCCACTGGGACTTCTGAGGAGAAGTGCAGAGAATATCCCCCAGAGTTGTCCATCTAGGGGACAGGAGGTTGGGGCTTTTGTTCACCGGCTCCTGATGGTGTTGGTTGAGGCTTGCCACATGGGCCACATGAGCTCCACAGGCTTCCAGAGAGAGAGAAGGGCACAGGTGTGCTTGAGGTGGGGTGATACTGTTCAGCACAGCTGCGGCTGGAATCAGACGTGGACCAAACGAATGTGATGTGGGTCATCAAATGTGTCTGCCCAGGGACAGCTGATTCAAAAGTGACACCTGTGCCAAGGAATGGCTCTAGTTTAATTCCACCCTATGACCAAATAGGATAAATCAAATCCTTCTTCTCCCTGAGACTCTGGAGTGTGCCTATCCTGTGCTCTGAGTTTTTCTAAGATAAGCACAGCGTGTTCCTGCATGCTGTGATTTTTTTATTCCTCTCCCCCTGGTTTTTCTCACATTGTACTGAAATTTGTCTGAGACTGCATAAAAATTGAATGCAATATTCCAGGTGGACCAACCCCCACAGCTATGGAAAGGGGCTATTGTGTGGAACACTTCATGGTACTCAGTGTTAGGTTGATTATTTTCAAATTCAGTGACATTGGTAACATAAATTTTGGCTTTTTTGTAATCCATTTTATATTTGGAATATAGTCTATTTTTAGTTTTTACATTTAAAAAAATATTTTTTAATAAAATGCTTAACTTATAGATATCATACTTTAACTTACTTGTAGTACCCTTGTAGCTTAAACCTTTAAAAGACAATGATAGCATGTAATGTCACCATTTTGATTTGAAATGGAGGCGCCTTTAAGTAAATAAATGAAAATCTAGCGTCTCTTCAGCCAAGTTTCTGTATATGTCACATAAATGAGGCATTAATTTCTTCTGTCTAAAATCTTGTTCTTTTTTAGGAAAATGTTATTTTTATGATAACTACTTTGACCTGCCAGGAGCTCTTCTATGTGCCAGAGTGGTGGACTCTTTAACAAAGGTGAGTGGGGACACATTTTTTAGAAACTATGATATGTATTTGGTCATATATCAGAGGACTTAATTATATATTTCTTATGAGTTGAGAGTTTACTCAGTTTCCTCTTTGTGGTTTCAGAGGTGACTGAGGAAGAAAAACAGAGAGAGTTTGGGGTGAAATATTTTTGGAAAATTAAGTAGCAGTGACCATTTTTTCCCCCAGGGATAGTAAATCTATTCTCCAACAGGGGGTGTAAAAGTCTACAAAAAGAAAATACAGAATTGCATCTGGAAAAAATATTTTCTTGGTTTCATTAGCAGAATAAAAAAGAAAAGTGAAGATAATTAAGAAAATTCCATGTGTCTTTAAGCATTCTAAATAATATAAAACCAGAAAAATGAGATGGAACTTTTAAATTCATCATTTTGAGCATAATTTAATACATATAGTACTATGTATCAAGATTACATAGGTCTCTAGTTATATCAGTTTATGCTTAAAACTTAAGACCTATGAACATAAACTGGTTTTATGTCACAATTGCTTTCCTTTTTGCATATGTTGTCTTAAAATCACAGTGATCATGTTTATAATAGAAGATAGGTAATGGTTTATTTTTGAATCACAATTACAGTCATGTGTTTGTGAAAGTTTCTGTTGAGCAATAGTTCTTGTATGTTTATAGAAGTTGTTATTAACATGAGATGGAGTCATTTTCTCATTTCATAGTGACTACAAGCAAATGTATATTTAATATATTTAATGTATAAATAAATATATTTAAATGTAGAAATAAATATATTTAAATATTTCAGAGTTTGTGTAATTAGATACAAGTACCTAGTAGTTGGTCTTTGTTTAGATGGAAGGACACTGGTTAATGTTTCCAAGAAAGCAAAGGGTTGTAGGGTTGTGTGTTTTAATGTAATGTTTATTTGCTTTTTGGTTAAAAAAAAATCTTAATGAAAATGATTTACATTTTGGATTTGGAACCTCCTTCATTTCTCCTATAGATACTTGCTGCTCTTTTATATTGAAATTCGGGTAGATGTGAACTGAATTCTAAAGTAATCAGCTTTTGGGGCTTTAGGGCTTCAGGCTTCTTAGCCCCACTGATGCCGTAGTACATGAAATAACACATTCTGACATCTCAGAAGCCATAACATTGTAAATTTACTCATGTGTTTAAAATATTCTATAATTTTTAGAGTTTATAATGAGTGGAAATTTTTATTTTATTTGGGCTATATGATCTATATTAATATTTAATCATGTATATATATCTCTGTACCAGTGATTTTCATGGAAGATTTCTCTTAAAATCACATTTAGACAGTCTAACGGACCTCTGGGACAATATCAAGCGCACTAACATCCGTGTTATGGGTGTCCCAGAAGGAGAAGAGCGAGACAAAGAGGCAGAAAATCTATTTGATGAAATAATAGATGAAAACTTCCCTAACCTAAGGAAGGAAACAGATATCCAGGTACAGGAAGCACAGAGAGCACCAAACAAGATAAACCCAAAGAGGCCCACACCACATCATAATCAAAATGTCCAGAATTAAAGATAAAGAGAGAATCCTAAAA